CGTTTAGGGTATCTTCTGTGTTACTTTTACGGCAATCGTTTCAATAAAAGCTCGACGATTGCCACTGAAGCAATGCTCGATAACTATAAAAATAAATATAAATATAAATATTTGAATATAAATGAATATAAATATTTCTTGGTAATTTAGAAAATATATAATCTGTGCAAGAAGGAGATATTATTAAACCAGCCGAAGTCGTTGAAAATATCTTCTGATTTTTCTAAATTTTTCGTTTAACAAAAAAAAGTACGTTGAAAACCACTGCCTCGAAAATTTAAAAATCAGCTCGACGAACGCCCGATAAATATTTCTTGGTAATTCAGGATATTATTCGACCGTCCGAAATCGTTACGGATATTTATTTAATTTCTATAAAAATCGTTTCAGCGACAGAAGCTCGTTGAAAACCACTGCTCGCTTTAAAAAAAAAGAACGACCGCTTGTTACAACTTATTTAAAGAAACAGGATTCGGAACGACCACGGTGAAACGTGTTCCTTGTAAACTGTTCTCGTGCCATGATATGCTAATTTTGCTTTATTTCCTTCGGCTCTGTGACAGATTAAAAAAACTGCTTATTATACGCAGACGATTAAGCTGCACGAGAAGAAGCAAAAAGAAAAAAAAAGAACAGAGAAGCCATTTATCGTTGAGATATCGACGTCGAATTCATTTAGAAGTCGGCGATAATTGCTGCGATAAACGTCTCGATCGTTTATCGTAATTTAAACGTACACATTCCCTCGTAATTATTGATATAACGGTCGTGCAGAGCATATGAACATGTATTTGTTTTCTACACTTGCACCGCCGGTGAACTTTTATTGTAGACTTTCAATTTACAGTAAATTCTCCCTAAATTCTCCCTCCCGTTTTTATAGTTACCGATTGTCAACAACTATAATAATCGTATCTCCTCGTTCGAAATTGTCCATTTTCGTGCGCAATCTTACTGCAAATTAGGGAAAATAATTTATAATAATAAATAATTTTACACAGTAAATAAACTATTCTCCCTAATTCGCATATATATATATATATTATTTTGGATCAGTAAAAAGACATACAGTCAACAACAAAAGTATTAGAACGCATTTGCACGTAAACGCGATCATTATGCCTACAATTTGAACTAATTGCAAATCAAAGGGAAACAATAGGCAGACTCTGTAAATTAAGAACCGTGTTTGTGAGAACAAATAGAGTAAAATCAGTACAGAGACGTTAAAAATGATCGAAATTAGTTAAAAGCTGCAACGTAAATTAAAGATACGAAATCACTCGTGCCATTAAATTATAACTTGTTCAATGTCCCAAGAGGTTATTCTACTTATATTATTATATTTAATTATTTCTAAATATCTTACGTATTAAAATACCAATATAGGAATATTAATTTTCGAAAAAGTCGACGGAATATCGTCGCGTCGTCGGCATTAATTTACAGCAATGTTATTAAAAGCTGCAACGTAAATGAAAGATATGGAATCACTCATTAAATTATACCATTAAATTAAATTAAATTAAATTAAATATTGCCATTAAATTATAGCTTGTTCAATGTCACAAGGTTATTCTACTTATATTATTATATTTAATTATTACCAAATAACATACGCTCTAAAATGCCAATATAGGAATACTAATCTTTGGAAACGTCGACGGAATATCGTCGCGTCGCCGGCATTCATTTACAGCAATGTTATTAAAAAGCTGCACGGGCACACACCTTTGTCCACGGTTGTACAAATTGCTACGATTCAATGGAGGCGAAGGGCAGTTTGAAAATCGTATCGAGCAGTGTCAGAAACAAACAGACAGACCGGTTAAATTGCAGCCGCTGCTGCTGTCGAGAGTGTAACAAGGGTGGTTCTGCACGAGGGCTACCCCTTAATTATCCCGTGCAATGACGCATTCGATGCTCACACAGGTATTTCGCCGTTATCGATCCGACGGAGCCCAAAGACCGACCAGACCACGTGTGTGCCGTTGAACTTTCGTAGTTTTCGACGTTTCGAGGACGCTCGTTCGCGGTGATTAAATTATTTTCTTTTTCTTTTTTCAATTTTTTTTAATTCAAAGATCGCGAACGATTATTTAACCAGCCGAGAAGGAAAATAACGGTTCCGATGAAGTGAACGGTTTGGGTGTGGATGTTGAAGTGATTCGTGGAAAAGCGTCGTCGTGATAGCCGAGTTCACGCGATCCAATGAACACGAGAAGCATAATAATAAATGGGACAATTTCGTCTGCGAGCGATATCGTGTTTTACTGGTCGGCCGCAGTTTTATATTCAATTCTCGACGAATGTCCGCCGAATTTGATGGTTCTGTTGCTGCGGGATAACATCCGATCGTCGATTTAGAAAATGGTGAGTTCAGTGAAACTTTCAGTTCGTTCGCGATTCGAATATTAAAATTCTCTAAACAGGTTGTTGTACTCTGAATGTTAAATATATATATTATATATTATAATATTATTATATTTATTTATAATTATAATATATAATATTATTTAATATTATAATATTATTATATTTATTTATAATTATAATATATAATATAATATATATAATATAATATATATAATATAATATTTTATAATATTATAAAATATTATATTATATATTATAATATTATTATATTTATTTATAATTATAATATATAATATTATTTAATATTATAATATATATATATATATATATATGTATATATATATATATATATATATATCGGCTATAATAATAATTTAATCCTCTATTCCAAACAATTCGAATAATAACCAACACCGAACCCCCGACGATTTCTCGCGTGACATATAAAAAAAAAAGGATCTCTGATAAAAGCTCGCCATAAATTTAGAACACACAAGGTCTTTCTTGTTCCTCCAAACATCCCCGATGCACTTAAATCCGTTTGGAACATTGTTCGCGCGTACGCGGAGCGGTTTTCGGAGCAGCCGCGCTGGCACGATAATATTTATTTAATTGAGAGAAAAAAAAGGGATGTTTCCATGCCCGGCATCTCGGATAATAAACCAGATGGAGAAGAAAGAACGAGAGGCGCAAGCCGACACCATGCGCCGTACTCGGAAGAAGGGGCCCCGTTTATTTAAATTTTCATGCCAGTGGTGTCGCTCAAACTTTTCCGCCTCGAAGCAAAGAAGTCGCCGAACGTTTGTTGTTCCTCGAGCGTTTTCGCTTCTGCTCGCGTTTCACCGACGGACCGTTGCGATATCGGCCTTGGACGCCGTGAACACGCTTTTAAAGCGCAATGAGGGAAGTAGTCGAGCTTGACCCGCGGGGATCTTTTGTCTGGCTTATGCCCTTTTTATCGTACGTTTACGATCCAGTAAAACCCTGGAAGACTGTTCTAACCCCCATGAGTCACGTCGTGGCGCGGTAACATTGCGCGCGATGAATGGGTAACGGAATTGGAGAAATTCAGGGAGAGAAACTGCTTTCTCTAAAACGAATAGCTTGTTATTAATTACTAAAATATAAACGCCTTTCGAATCAACGTTCGTAGCTGCCATTGAGAGAATTTCATAAAGTCAATAAATGAATTAAAACTGCGATTACTGTTACTTGTATATTATAAATTGTCAATATTAACCCTTTACACTCAAGTGGTGACTTTGAGGCACCATTGAAATGGTTATATATCACGTTCCAAGATAATTTTTATTAATATAATATAATATAATAATATAACATATTAATATAAAAAGTTATTAAAAGTCTAGCTGCTGTATGAGAGTCACAGAAGACATCAAATGGAAATACTATGGAGACAGAAAAGTTAATTTGGATTTACAGTCGAAACAGCTTCGAGTGCAAAGGGTTAAACATGCAAGAAAATTATGAGATTAATTGTTGGGAAGATTACACGCTATAAAATGTTCGATAATATTACTTTATACCGCATTTAGCCTGCGAACAGCTAGAACAAATTCTGTGCCCCTTACGGTGGCCGCCAGCTTGGCGCGGCGTCTGTTTCGTGAGTCATAGCATCGGGGGTTCTGACTTCTGCAAACGTCGCGTCGTGTTCGAGAATCGATAATAGCAAAATCAAGCACTTCGAAAATCGTTGACCCAGGTCGTATCGTCGATTGCAACGACATCATCTGTGCGATAGGCCTGGTGTCNTAATAATAATAATAATAATAATAATAATAATAATAATAATAATAATAATAATAATAATAATAATAATAATAATAATAATAATAATAATAATAATAATAATAATAATAATAATAATAATAATAATAATAATAATAATAATAATAATAATAATAATAATAATAATAATAATAATAATAATAATAATAATAATAATAATAATAATAATAATAATAATAATAATAATAATAATAATAATAATAATAATAATAATAATAATAATAATAATAATAATAATAATAATAATAATAATAATAATAATAATAATAATAATAATAATAATAATAATAATAATAATAATAATAATAATAATAATAATAATAATAATAATAATAATAATAATAATAATAATAATAATAATAATAATAATAATAATAATAATAATAATAATAATAATAATAATAATAATAATAATAATAATAATAATAATAATAATAATAATAATAATAATAATAATAATAATAATAATAATAATAATAATAATAATAATAATAAATTTAGGTACATGCAAAAATTAGCACCTGCAAAATGCAATAAAAATTCAATTTTCGTTTTACTTAACAAATTATTTTGACTTCAAATTTACATCCTAATTATTGAAATATTATTGTATTGAAGTATATATTATTGAAATTATATATTATTATTGTAAGATTTTATTAAAAATATTATAACGCCACATAATATATAATATAATATTACTAATATATATTATTAAAAATAATCTATTACGTAAAATACTCGTAAAACCTGTACTTTTGCAAGTAGCGAAATATTTTCACGCAGTCGAATTTCGTTTGTTTTTTTCGAAACAGAGGGTGCCGGGTGGTGGCGGCGTGATTGTGGGGGGTGGCAGTAGTTCGGCCACCCCCCAAGGTGCACAACAGGGCAGCAGCCTTGTGTACCGCGTGGTAAGCTCCAGACATCCTGGCGGCCATCATCCGCATGTAAAGAAATCGGACAGCTCTCAGCAGACTGACAACTCGGCGTTCAAACACCAGCAACAGCAACAGCAGCAGCAGCAGGTCTCGAACAGCTCGGCGAACAGTAGCTCGAACAGCCAACAATGGAAGAAATATATCGAGGCCGGAGCTGCGAGGGACCGGGAGAGAGACAAGGATGGCGCGCCACCGAGTCCTAGTCCCTCCAGGCGATCCCAAGTAAACAATTTCTGTATACATAGTTTTATCTCGTTCCGACTCCTCCCTGGGCTCTGGACATTATTGATTTTCCAGATGGAAAACTTATCTTACCGAAATGGAATCTCTGCGTCCCCGTTTTTTTTTCTAACGTACTCGTCTTATTATTTATCTTTTGCCCAAGGTTTATCATTATTTCTGTCCAATTTGGAAAAGTTTCGATGCAGGCGACATACTTCGTATACTGCTGTGTTTTCATTCGAGAACATTAATTTTATATTTCTTGAAATCAACACATTTTTGGGGAAAATGTTAAATGTAAAAATCAATCGATTTCAAGGTGGAAGTAGAATTAATTTATTTTTCTTGTTCTACCACATGTTTTGTTTTAACTGCGACAAGATTTTGTTAGATACTCTTGGTTTATCTATCTTGAAAAATATATATAGAATATATTTAACTAAATATAAATATAATATATTATATTATATTATTATATTATATTATAATATTATACTATACTTATATCCATATATTTAGAATATATATAAGTAGATATAAATTATATTATATATATATAATATAATTTGTATCTATATTATATTTATATTTAGTTATATATATTCTAAATATATTTTTATATAAATATATGGCTATAAGTATAGTATATTATATTTATGATATAAATATAAACTGTTCCGACACTTTCTCAGGACAAACACCGGAAACAGGCCATGGCTGAATATGCAAACGGCGAAAAACCTCAGAAAGTTTCATCGGGAACGTCGACTAGCGGCAGCAATAAAGTTAGAGGAGTGCCGCAGAGTTTCGGATACGTTAAGAGACACAGCGCTGGCACCAGTCCCAGCCCCAACGGAGTCCAAAATGGCAGCAAAGACACTACGAGAACTGCTCAAGTTAGCGCTGTTCCGAGGACAAAGGTAAAGTTTTTTCTTTATTGGTCTCGTTAACCGAGTCGTTTTATTCTCCTACATCCTTTAGCAGAAGTTTGTATGCTACTTATATTTATATTGAACGTATTTATTTTAATAATATAATTACTGTATTATAAAGGAAAATCGCGTTTATATGTTATACATATTTATAATATAATATCATCATTATATTATAAAGGAAAATCGCGTTTGTACATTATACATATTTATAATATAATATCATTGTTATATTATAAAGGAAGATCACGTTTATATATTATACATATTTATACTACAATATCATTATTATATTATAAAGGAAAATCGCGTTTATATATTATACATATTTCTAATATAATATCATTATTATATTATAAAGGAAAATCACGTTTATTCTATAACTTTTTCTATTCTTTCAATATCATTTAATCCAACCTAGCATTAGCATGGACGCAGCTTGCATAAATATGCACTCTATACAGGATGTCCTAAAATTATTTATCGTTTATCTATTTAACTTCTACGAGTAGTTTTAAATCTCCATGTTTCGACGTTGCAGGTCAAAGTATCCGGCGGAACGCAAACGTGCACCACGGAACTGCAGGCGAACTCCTCTACGTCGAGTCAAGGACATCATTATAAGAGTTACAGCCTTACCGGTCCCAGCGCCAGTCAACTTTCCCAATCAGTACGGGACCGACTTATGCTCGGTTCGCAAAGCCTGCCGAAGCCTGGTAGCCCAGAATTCACGGCGCTGTTCGCGTCTGCTCATCACAGGGAGAGAGGATCCGGAGCCGGACCAACGAGTGCTTCCTTCTCGCCGCGAGTACTGAAACCATCCGATGGAAGTCTCAGCGATACGTGCAGCAATTATGCAGCCCCCGATCTGCAGGGGTATTACACCCCTAACAGTCCGTACACTACATCCTGGATGAGACACAGCAATACTTATACACCAAGTGGACGTTCCCAAGGTACTTTCTTTGTACCTTGCCTGATGAAAGCCTAGCAATTTGTACTGACGATATCTGAGACAGCCGAGTAAACAAATGTTAAACAGCTATATGCGGGTATTTCTTGAGAGATTTGAACGCGTGTGTGATCACATTCGGAGTTTAATATTCAACGGGGTATATAGCGTGTATCGTAATAAATACTAATAGCTGGACTGCGAATTTTGTGCATTTATGGGAAAAGTGCAGAAGAGAAATCGAGATCGGTAAAGATATGAAAAGAATTTAAGAATTCATTATTATTTTGAATTAATTGAAAGTATTGAAGAGAGGATTACATGTTTATTCGACTCCTGTTTTGTACAGCTGATGCAGAAAATTCTTAGTTTCCATAAAAGTCCTAATAAGTCTACTAGCAGTCTACTAATAACAAAATCTGAACACAGTATTATTAATGTATTAAAGACATTTCTGATTATGTTCTAATTAATTATAATTTTTAATGTATTAATATATTCTAATTATATATTATATTATATTATATATTTATATTATATTATATATTTATATTATAATATATATTTATATTATATATATAATATTATATATTATTATTATTATATATTAATATATTCTAATTAATTTCTTACTATGCCCAAAAATTGTAGTAGTGGGAGGTATTCGGGTAGCCTAATAGTTCTTATTTAGCCGAGTACCTCATAAATTGACAGGGTCCTCGTGTGTCTTAAAAATCATTTGGGAACGACAATTAACCATAATATATCGTACCTAAACTATTTTTTCTATAATTATTTTATTACTATAAAATAATTCTATATCTATAATTATTAATCTATAATAATTATTATTATATTCTTATAATTATCTTCTCATAAGTTAAAATGGCTGAGCTAGCTATTCGATCTCTACGGGTGCATCCCTTTATCGCAAACTCCTGTCACGTTTCCACGATAGTGTGTACTTAATTTCTGCAATTTCAGGAATGGGCCTGTGCGAAGCCGACAGCGTGGAGTCATTGGGATCTCACCGAGCGAGCTTAACTCACGCCCGTTTATTAATGCATCAGAGGGACTCCACCGGGTCCCCGGCACCGCCTAGACTGAACCGAAGCAATTCCATTAGGTATGCCCGTTCAACGATGACTAAATCTTTTATGTTAGTCTTCCACGACCTTTTACGAGATCCTTAGAAGTCATTTGCATACGTCTGTATGTATAGATGCATGACTAGAGGATGCAAATGTCTCACCATATTGTTTAAATCGATCAGTTCCAGCTTTTTCTGATTCTTTATAATTAACCACTCTATCGACAGCGAATTAAGCTCGTTCACGGTGAAATAACGCAGTTCATTTAATACCGTTCTAGCCATCTGCGGGACAGGACATTCCCAAGGTAGTGCAAAAAATCTAGAATTTACACAGTTCTTGCCGTGCCTGATTTCCATGCATAAGTATTGAACGAACCGAATCTAGGGTGCTATGCCCTACATATGTATACACACGAGTGACCATTTTATACGCACTTCAAACACAGATGTCCATGTGTATTTATATTTGTATCTATGTGTAATCGAGTTTTCTACACGTGTATATCGTTTAGACTCTACGCAGAGTGTCTCAAAATTATTGTACTAGAATGAAATGAGAGATTCCTGAGGTGATTTCAAGTAACTTTTTCCTGAGCGAAAATGTTCTACGACGCTTCGTTTACGAGTTATCAACGAAAAACGCTGACCAATGAGGGATCGCGTACGGCCGACGCACCGTCCTCGCGACCACCGCCGCTGCGTCAGACGGCCGACGCGGCCGCGGCATTGGCCGCAAGGGCGGAGCACCGGCCGCGCCAGCTGATCTCGCTTCTCATTGGTCACCGTTTTTCGTTAATAACTCGTAAACGAAGCCTCGGAGAAAATTATTGCAAAGGGAAAAGTTACTTCGAATCACCTCAGGAATCTCTCATTTCACTCTAGTATAATAGTTTTGGGACACCCTGTATATAGCGAACTTTAGCTTACCATCGATTCAATCAGTTTCCCACTTTCTTAATGTACACAGCATTTGTATTTCCGACTACGGCCGTGCTTGGTTTGCGAACGCATGTCAAAGCTTTTCACGACATTCTTTCATGCAGCTGGAGGAAGCATTGCAACTTCATTTCGTATCTGACTTTTCTTTACCTAATTGGTCACAAAAATCGTCGTCCACTCTATGCAGTTTTAAACATATATTAAAAGCTACTTAAACGCTCTTTGTAATATTTGACAAATCTATTTATCGTAGTTCGAACATTCGTCATCTTCATCATTTATCATTTGTTATTTAATACGTTCAGTGCCGCGTGTGTCACGCATGAGTGACACTAATATAAATATTGAACAAATTGAATGTTACTAGGATTTATTAAATTTATTTAATGACTTTGATATTGTGCGAATTTTTCGAGTTAATATTCGGCACTGAACGTGTTAATAACTACGCGCTTCGTGCCTTCGCCTTTCTTCCTCTTCGTTCTAGAGGGTGTCCCAAAAATGTCTCGCAATTCGCAAAGGGGGGGGGGGGGTTGCTGAGGTTATTTGAAAAAACTTTTTCCTTAACGAAAATTTAATCCGCCGCTTCGTTCACGAGTTATCAACGATAAACAGCGACCACTGAGAGATCGCCCCGCCCTCGCGACCACTGTCGCCGCGTCAGACGGCCGACGCGACGCAGCATTGGCCGCAAGGGCGGAGCGCTGGCCGCGCACTCGCTCTCTAATTGGCCCATGTTTTTCGTTAATAACTCGTAAACGAAGCCTCGTAGAACATTTTCGCTAAGGAAAAAGTTTCTTCAAATCACCTCAGGAACCTCCCAGTTCCGGTTTGCGAGACATTTTTGGAAGAAAAATGTATAACTTTCAGCGTCTATGATCGTACACTATTCTGTAGTAAAATAAAATCATGCAACAAAATTTCGACTATTTTTGTGGCCAATTGTAGTTGCTTCCAGTAACACTACGACAATTATAAAGAATCATTTGCGCTATGCTTGCCCTTGCACGTGTCTCTCCCGAATCGTATTCGTTTTATTCGTTTATTCGACCCGTTTCCTTTCGCTGTGCTCTCTTATAGAAGAACCGCGCGAGTGCATACGGAACGGTGAAGTGGCACTCTACCCTTTCAGACGGAACAGAATTTATCTTCTAATTAGAAGACTCTCTCCAGATCGACTAATTACGTATGCACTCGTCAGGTAGATAGACGGGTTCTCGTCGATGTCCTAAGCAAACTGAACCTACTCGGATGCGAGAAACACTTGTCTGCGGCTTGATCGGTCTCTGTCTGGAACGAGAATTCTTCGAAAAAACGAGCATTGACGAAGTTCGTGTAGCCTTCGCGTCGAAAAATTCTCGTTTCGATCGAGCATTATGCACGCGCATCGATCGTATCCGAGGAGGATGCTCGTTGCCTAATCTTTCGATCGGTTGTCTTCCCGAATGCGATCGAGCAGCGCGACGAGCTGCAACCGATATGCAACGATAACCGAGCTTTCTATCGCGTAGACGCAAACGTCTGAATAATTTCCGTGCAGATATCATTCGGCGATGTTGATCGAATGTCGCGTTTGACCGACATTTGGAATCGGAGCGTTCTCTACACTGCGCTAACCGATTGCATCAATTTACAAAACTGAGTTGTTCGAACTATTGATAGGCTCCGGACTCGATACATTTGTGGCGAAATTGAGTGGTTGCAATTTAAGGCAGTAGAAAGATTGAAAGAGATTTGGAAGTTATATTTCATTAAAATAAATTAATAAAATATTTTAATAATATTGAAATATATTTTAAAATATTATAAAATTTATTTTAGATTATAAAATATATTAATAGAATAGTTTTTTAAAATATATTAATAAAATGTTTTAAATATATATGTGTATTAATAAGATATTTTTATTTTATTACGTTATTATTTAGTTTATTTGCTACACCATTATTATATTATTTTATTATATGTATATTATTTCTAACTTACCATTTAGTTTATATTTCTTGCACTCGAGGCAGACAATTTTTATTTCACGTAAAAAGCCGCGATCTAATTAATTAGGCTTCTCGAGAGATCCTCTGATCTATGAATCTCAATATTTTCATTTCGAAAGCAAGTCCGAGCGTTGCATTCCACTGGTGAATGGCGATTTTTATTCCGTCGAAATTTATTATAGAACGATGGAATCGATATCGTATTTCGCAGCCTCTAAGCATGAGAAAAGGTCAAAGCAACATAGGTCAGCGAACTCTTCGTTTCGAAGATAACAGCAAATTATAGTAAGCTAATCGATAGTAAGATTAATTACCATCTCAACGCTAAAAAGATTTAATTACCACTGTCTTACGGTTTGTGACGACTAGATTACAGACTTCATGAATTTCTAGCAAAAAACTGTTCGCACGATAATACAAGTGTCGCGAACACGAACTTATAATTGTCCCGTTTTTATTGTCTTAATTCGATCATACCGCAGACGAGTGACCAGTCAGATGTTGAATGTCAACGTTAGACACGTTCTATCGATGCACGTTACGCGCTTTTCCATTCTCCGAAGATACAAAAAGTTTCTTCGAACATGCCTCGCAACGAAGTAGAAACTTTCAATGATAACTGGACCGTGGATTTTTTTCGTCATCGTTATACAGGGTATCCCAAAATTATTATACTAGAATGAAACGAGAGATTCCTGAGGTGATTCGAAGAAACTTTTTCCTTAGCGAAAATGTTCTACGAGGCTTCGTTTACGAGTTATTAACGAAAAACATGGACCAATTAGAGAGCGAGTGCGGCCGGCGCTCCGCCCTTGCGGCCAATGCCGCGGCCGCGTCGGCCGTCTGACGCAGCGGCAGTGGTCGCGAGGGCGGGGCGTCGGCCGTACGCGATCCCTCATTGGTCAGTGTTCTCCGTTAATAACTCGTAAACGAAGCGTCGTAGAACATTTTCGCTAAGGAAAAAGTTACTTCAAATCACCTCAGGAACCCCTCGTTTAACGCTTGTACAATAATTTTGGGACAACCCGTACAGTAATTCTCGCCCGAATTCGCGCTCAGATTACGCACAATAATGGACAATTTGGGAAGCGCTGATACAATTATTCAAGCCTCGCGTCTCCTTTAAAATAAAATCGCATCTTCTCTTCTCAAATTGTCCACTTGTATGCGCAATCTGAGCGCGAATTAGGGAAAGAGAATCGCCGAGATACGAATTCGCATAAAAATTTGCGGTCCAACGATAATTTATCGGCATGGTTATACAGTTGTAATTTGAACAGTGGGGAACTCTTTGTCGATCTTCGGAGACATTTCACATCGATGCCAATCTTTGCCATACCAACGATTTAGATGGTTCTACGTCTGTTTTCGCAGATCCACGAAGAGCGAAAAAATGTATCCGTCGATGTTAGCTAGAGGAAGCGGAGCATCATCCTCTGTCGGCGAGGAAGTCGGAGTCGGGATAGGAATGGGCGTGGGTGTTGAACCATATTACAGTGTCCCCGTGGGATCTACCGGGTGTACGGGGCAGCACTGGTCCCAGCCAACGTCCCCGACGCCCACGCACACATCTCGACAACCGCCTAATCTCTACCAGCATGTGCATAAAGACGACGACAGTAAGTTTTCATTCAGAGATGTTTATAGTTATAACTTCTTCTCTTAACAGCCAATTAGAAACGAGCGAACATCGATATTTTCCATCATTTTCATTCTACCAGAAATTCGAATGTTTTCTGTTTATTCTATTATTTTAAGAGATTTTTTGGTATCCTACTGTTTTATTCCACCGGTAAGCCACGAATATTCTACGCTTTTTTATTCTGCGATTAAGAATTTTTCGATATTCTACAATTTACTCTACCGTTTTAAACCTCGAATATTCTATACGCTTTATTCTACAATTAAGAATTTTTCGATATTCTACAATTTACTCTACCGTTAAATCTCGAATATTCTACGCTTTAGTCTACTAATTAAGAATTTCGATATCCTACTTTTTATTCTCTATTATTAAGCATTCTTGGTATTCTACTTTTTATTCTACTATTAAGAATTCTTTGTATTACGTTTTTTTTTCTCATTAAACGTACACTAGTGTGATATTAGGCTTGCCGTACTCAAAGCAATAGAAAATTGTTTATTATCTCCCTATCCCTAACTACGTTCGTGCAATATTATTATTATTTATTATATTTTTTCTCGACGAAGTAAGAATATTCACTGCTGTTCGATGAATTACGCTTGTTTCATCCTCTTCAAAATTACGATATACAAACTCAGATATATAGTGCAAATTCTAAAAGCGAAATTAGTGTATTCTGATCTTGAAAAGCATATTCGGTTTCACAGAAACTGTAATTAGCAATAGTTTCTCGGGGAAAAGGAAACACGAAATTATCTCGAAATGTTGCTTTTTTCCACGTCGCGTCGCGGTGTCCGGATTAACGATTAGATAATTGAGACGCAGTTCTTTTTTTATCGTTCCGTTACACTCTGCGGATGCAATATCTACCGTGATATTTTATGTGGGGATAAAGATAAAAAAGTTTCTCTGTTGACATTAATGATAGGATAATACAAAGCGAGAGGTAAGTTTCGACAACCGCGGCTGAAATGTTTCTCGATTTCATTAACAAAGCATATGACACCTTCTTCATGATGATTCTCGCGGATTTTTCATTCGCGAATTAAAATATTTTTTATTAAAAATTTATATAATTATAATTATAATGTATTATTATATATTATATATATATATATTTTATTATAATATATATTATTATTATATTAAATTATATTATATTAATAATTAATATAATAACTATATTATTATATTATATAATATATAAATATTATTATATAATAATATATAATAATTATATTATCATATTAAATCTATATTATAATATATAGATTTTAATAATAATATATAATATTGCATTTACTAATATGCATTATATAATATTGCATTTATTAATATGCATTATATAATATCGTATTTATTGATATGTATTATATAATATTGTATTGATTAATATGCATTATATAATATTATATTTATTAATACGTATTATATAATATTGCATTTATTAATACACACTATACGCATAACATTAACCCGTACACATTGTTCAACTGGGAACAAAACGGTCGTAGTTTTGAAACGTTTTTTGAAGAAATTGAACTGCCGACTTCGAATTTATGAAACGACTATTAAGGAGACGGCCGGTACCATAAAGTGTTATTAAGATAGAACATATGGAGGGTGTTGTCTGCGAACCGTACAAACGCTTGATTATCCCGGAAGCTGTATCGGAGATACAAGAAGTTTTTCTTTTTCTTTTTTTCATGAAAACAAAATGGTACGCGGAGGTATAAACTTTTCTTTCGGGCCCTCGCGAGTAGGAAGTGTACGCAGCAGGAGTTCGGGTCGTCTTCTCAAGTGTCGCGCCCAAAAAATCCGGTGCTTCTAACGTTTCGAACCTAAACAGCTGTAGGAAGCTACTACGGGGTAACAGAACCTTCGTAAACCTGTGGATTGTTCTCGAATTATTAGAATATCCGGAAAATCGAAGAGTTACGCGCGACGATGCCGCATCTTCGTTTTCTACGCGTTTCTTGTTCCATATATTCCGTTTCGTCTAAAACGATGCGATCCTTCACTCTCTCGGTATAAAAAGACATTATTACATATTGCCTCCTAGCAATAAATACGACGGTAGTGTGTCGCAACAGGCAGCATTATAGAAAGGTAAAATGAGAGACGTATTTGTTATGGATGGTTTTACTCTCCGTGGAAACGTCCTATGAATTAAATCTTATTATTTATAGTTCGTTAGATTAGCGGAATATTGTTGCTTGTAACTTCATTGTAGCAATAAAATATTATTATTTAGACTTCATTGTATCAGTCGAATAGTATTATTTAGACTTCATTATGTTGGTAAAATATTATTATTTATACTAACAAGAGAATACTAATATTTATACTTGATTGCATCAAGAGAATATTATTATTTATACTATCAAGAGAATACTATTATTTATACTCTTGATTACATCAAGAGAATATTATTATTTACACTATCAAGAGAATACTATTATTTATACTTGATTTCATCAAGAGAATATTATTATTTATACTATCAAGAGAATACTATTATTTATACTTGATTGCATCAAGAGAATATTATTATTTATCGTGTCAATAGCAAGCTATTCCTTATAGTTCATTATATCAAGAGAACACTATTATTTATACTTTATTGCATTGATAGAATACGGTTATTTAACCTTGATGTAAATTTAACCGTGCACCGCTCCGTCTCGAATTCAAGCCTCTCGGGGGTCGCATTCGCAAATTAAAGATCGCATTTCAATTATCTTCTCCCTCTCGTTGTTTCTCGAACGCCGCGACACAAACGAGCAAGAAGAAAGAAAGAAAGAAAGAAAGAAAGAAAAAAAAAGAACTGTTTTCCTGGTTTGCCCTCAGTCCACGGATCTTCTGTATCTTTGGTATCGACAGCGAGCAGTCTGTACAGCTCGGCGGAGGAAAAGCAGGCGCACGAGCTGCGGAAACTGCGGCGGGAGCTGCTCGACGCGCAAGAGAAGGTCCATTCGTTAACCAGCCAGCTATCGACCAACGTGAGTACCATGTTATATATCGATTTCTGTAACGATAAACCATACCTCTGACGCGTATCAACAACCTGCTGCTACCGTTCGCTCGTATTATTTCGTAACGGCCCGTGTAACACCGACCGACAGTAAACTGACGTCACGGTTCGTACGCACGTCACACAATTGCTCGAATGCGGATCTATTCTCTGTTTTAAACGAGCCGTGGTCCCGCGAGCTCTGCGCGCGAATTGCCGCAAATGATTAATCATAATTAATCGAACCAACGGCGACAATTAACCAAGTTACGAGAGAGCCGGCCGTTGCTCGTTAAACGAGCTCGATCCGGCCGAACCTGTTCGAACAGCTTCGAACGGAACACCGATACATCAACATCGTGTCCTCTCTGTCATCATGCTAAATATCGTTCGCAATTATGTACATCGTTCCCATTACGATTTCTTGTCCGGTTTACGGAAATCGATGCGCACGGTGAAATATTGACTTGGCAACTAAGTAATTGCCGATTTGTTCAATGAAATGAAAATTTTTTTTTTACTTGGAACGAAGTTTAATCTGTAATGTATTTTCCATTTTGTTCGATGACCTTTCGCCGTCTCTCTGACAACTTGAAAATTCCACGCTCGTAGAAAGTCCGATCCTTTTCGGCCGAAAACTGAGTTAAATGAGATTTTACAGCGTCGTCGTCATTAAAAGTTTTACCACGAAGGGAGTTGTCCAGGGATCGAAATAAGCGGTGATCCGATGGCGCGAGATCGGGGCTATATGGTGGGTGTAACATCGATTCCCAAGCAATATCCATGAATTTTTGCCGAGTGGACAAAGACGTGTGCGGTCTAGCATTGTCCTGCTGGAAAATGACACCTTCACGATCGACCAATTCTGCTCGCTTTTCCTTGACCGCTGCATTCAATTTGTCCAGTTGCTAACACTCGCGGATAATAAAAAATAACATAATAATAATAATTTTATAATGTAACATTTACGGATATCATAAAAATGGGAGCGAGAGACATCTGTAACTGAAATCGGCAATTACTTAGTTGGCAACCCAATATCATTTCTCCGTTCCCGCGGCCGATTCCGGGAGAAACAATAATTCATTCATACATCGCGGCCGTCTCGACGGATAACCATAAATTTCGTTGTTAATCTACTTATGAACACCGGAACAGACGTTATCGGATACAGCATATTTTATGGCCGCTTATTCGAGCCTTGAGCGACGTTTCGGACTGTGATCAAACCGACTAATCGGGTCACTTCGAAACCGTTTCGCATTAATATATGTACACCATGGACAAATACGAATTAGCGCGGATTATTGCAAAACGTTTCGCATTGCCGGGAAAAAATAGCGGCGTCCGATTTCTATCCTTTCGCGGCTTAACGAATAATTTGTCTCGTGAATTTCATCGTTTATTATTTTAGAGCTTACTTACTGCTCAAGCGGACGTTTGATTGATCTGGGATCGCTTCGAACTATTAATATTCGAATAATAATATAATATATATATATATATAATAAATTAATAAAATTGTTATATATTATATACAATAATATATAAAATTATACATGTAATAATAAATATAATAATACATATATTATTATATTTATTATTGTAGTATATATACATATATTATATTTATTATTTATACTTATAATAGTATAAATATATATAAATACTAGTGAACATTATTTGCAAAAAGGGGTGAACTTGATTTACGAAATCCTCACGAAAGGATTAACTCGATTTGCAAGAATGAATTTAGAGCGTGGAAAAGGTGAATACGATATAAAAGGGTTACTTTCAAATCAACTACAATCACACTTCATCGATTGTATTTTCTCCGACACGACTTCGTCGACGTCGAGGTTCATCGACAGCATGCATTTACCGATACTGTGATATAACGCGGACCTAACGCAGAACGAGTGTCGATGATAAATATTCGACGATAACACCGTACAGGCTTTAAAAGATTAAAAAAATGGCAGATATCTTCCAGTATTTAATCGAAAACGTGATAAAACTGTGATTCTTGCCATCTTCGATTTATTATAACTCATAAAAACGCGATAAATTTTGCATCGCGATAAAGTTACAAATTTTCTAAAACCAACAACAATTTTCTAAACTAACAACATTCGATAAAATTTTCAGCGTGCTTGTACAAGTTAACAAGATCAACGAGACGCATTTTTTAAATTTCCGTCATAGGCTCAGATAAAAAAAAGTTAAACGGGAGTACACATCTTTTTTGTCGTCGTTGCAAATAATAGCAAAATTTGAAGAAAGCATTTTGCTCATCGTCCCTAAAAAAAACATTCGAGTCGCTTAGTACGATTTCCAAAAAAAGTAATCGCGCGTTAACCCCCTTAGCACTGCGAACCATTTTGGACGTTGGCTACCAGCTACGCAGCGCCACTTTTCGGCAGAAACGGGCATTTACAGACCCTCGTATTATTTAGTATGCTTTTCGAACTAACTAACGTATTATAATGATATTGGACTTATACGAATTTGGCTGAAATCGAGAAATTTGCAAAAAAAGTTGCGCCGAAATAACTCAATTCCCCGTAATCGCTAATAAACTTGAATGTCCCACTCGAGGGGACAGCGGAGTGCAAAGGGTTAAAAAGTGTACGAGCGCTGTAAATATCGAGGTTTATATATCGTAGTTTACGGAGAGATCGCGTTTCGAACGCGGCTCCGCAGCGATTTCGAATGGCCCGCGTTCGGCCCCGGTGCAGCGGAAGTGACCGTGTGCACCGAGAGGAAGATCAACGGGGGCCGGCCAATGGGACGCGTCGCGGCCTCTCGGGCATCTTGGATCGCTGCGCGGTGGATCGGTAGTCGGTCCGCGTTTAGTTAGTGGCGAGACGCGCTGCCTCGAACGTCGTTTCTGCGTTTGGTTGCGTTCGCGTGAGCGTGTTCCGTGGCATCGCGTCGCGTCGTGTCGCGTCGCGTCTCCTCGCGTCGTGTCGTGTCGTGTCGTGCGTGCAACACAATAAACGCTCGGTGCGTGTCTCTGCCACCGTGTCAGTGGACCGTCGGCACGGTCGCGGGACCGCGGGCTCGCCGACGCGAAACTCGGAAAGTGTGACAAAGTGCGGAATATAGATCTCCTCGTCGCTGTTCGGTTCAATCGATTCGTGTGATCTGTCAACGAAAAGAGCAAGCAAGCAAGCAGGCCAGAGTGAGATCGAAGCGAGCCGGATCGAACTCTGGCCGCGCGATCGATGAGCCCGGAACGTGATCCGCGGGACGGAACCACGGCGGCGAGAGAGCCAGCCAGCTGAAAGAAAAGTAATTGAAACGGAGTCGTTTGTCTGGTTCGATTTTTACGGGCCCGCGAACGAGCGCGGGGCTCGATCGTTTTCCCGTCGATAGCTTATCGTCGTACGGCGACCTTTCTCTTTGTACACGCTCTTTATCCCTGGATACTATGCGTTTTACTCCCGTGATACTTCCCAGGTTTGTTTACTATGCCAGTATTTGTCCGCGCGCTTTATCGGCCCGCCGAAGGTAGATAACGCGGATGGTTCTATTTCTTTTTCTTTTTCACCGCTCGATGCGCTTTTAGGATCGAATAACCGACACCCCGTTCCCGTGATTCACACGATATATATATATTTTTTTTCTTTTTATTGTTGCAATAATAGTCCGCTGTGCGAGCATTGCTGCATACCGTTATATTATAATATTATTAACGGTTATTATGACCGTTATTAATATAATATAAATATAATAATATTTGTATAATATAGTAATAAATAATATAATATATATATATATATAATTATTACTATATTATATTATATATTACTATATTATTACTATATTATATAAATATTATTATATTTATAGTAATAATTATATATATATAATTATTACTATATTAAATATTAAATCCATATTATACGTTATATCATATATTATTATATTACATTATTATACATAAAAATTAAAAATCGTCTTCCATTAACGACGCTCAATAATCAAGACGAAAAATCAGTAAAACAATATCTTCCATATAAGCAAATACACATGTATAGAGTGGTTCTTGCGGAAATTTACGGTCGGATAATCGTAATCAAAATTGAAAATCTCGAACGGAACCTCTCGGGTGCTCTCGCAATTAAGGACAGAGGGATCTCCGAGCGAAATAAAGAAAGTCTCTGTCATTTTGGGCAGCAGTCGGGTGGTGTCCTTTAAGGAATCGCGGTCAAAATTTCGGTCATCTCGGAAATAATGATCACGGGCGAGAGATGATCGTATAACGCGCGCAGCCAGCCAGCCACTTATACGCGTCTCGGTTACCATTTCGGTCCCTCGGCTAGTAGTAGTAGTCTCGTGGACCAGAATTCTGCGGTAGCCTTTTTTATACGGCGTCCTTTGAGATCGTCCCCGGGAACCGGTCAAAGACGAACACGCTAATGAATTTACGACGTTGAGTAAAGTTTATTCGAATGTTCGCACAAAAAGTAATTCTACGATCATCGAAATGCCCCCCCCCCCCCCCCCCCCCCACA